AAGGAAGAAACAAGGACTTAGCCCCAGAGACTAAACTTAAGGACAGGAAAAATGAGAAAAAGAATCAGTATTGAAAGGAAGGGGCAGGTCATGGCAGCATGGGGAAACAGATGACTCAGGAGTGCAGAAGGCTGGATCCATGCTCACCCATGAGCCATATTCTTTCATTCTTTTGGCTTGAAAGCTGAACCCGGCTTGGAACCTGCAATGGTGACTGATACTGGAACAGGCAAAGATGCTTATTCAGGGGGTCTCAAATCATGTCTGTGTCACCCACCACGAAGACACAGAACTTGGTGAATAAAGGAAGGGATTTATTCAGTGAGACCAACCAGGGAGACAGCAGACCAGAGTCCGTAACCATCTCTGCTGTATCAGACAAGAAATAAAGCTTATATAGGGGAAGAAATGATTGGTAAGTTATTGAGGAGGCTTCATCTTCACCAGGATTACAATGGCAATGGTGACTGATACTGGAACAGGCAAAGATGCTTATTCAGGGGGTCTCAAATCATGTCTGTGTCACCCACCACGAAGACACAGAACTTGGTGAATAAAGGAAGGGATTTATTCAGTGAGACCAACCAGGGAGACAGCAGACCAGAGTCCGTAACCATCTCTGCTGTATCAGACAAGAAATAAAGCTTATATAGGGGAAGAAATGATTGGTAAGTTATTGAGGAGGCTTCATCTTTAGCAGGATCACAAGGATCACAAGAAGATGTGCTAGCGACAGTATACAGTGGGGGCCAGTTTCTCTTTTGGGCATGCAGGGTAGAGCAGAATGACTGATTTCCTTCTCTGCATGGGGCTTAAAGATAAGCAACTGATTAAAAAGGCAGCAGAAGAAAATGGAGTCAGCCAGGACAACTCTTAGATGCTGGAACAGAGCCCAGCTGTGACTTCGTAATGCTTGAGTTAATAAAATCTTCTCAGCTAGTCCTATGGGAAGAGGCTGGTGGCATCTTTCCCTTCCCTGTCTCCATAACCAGATATTTGCAGAGGCTCAGCAAGGTTATTGTAAACTTTCATTAGTTGAGCATTAGGCTCCATCTATTGGGAGGGAGGATTCTGTAAGACTCTTTGTGAAGTAAAAGATTTTCCTAAGGTTTAATCTATTGAGATAGACTCTAAGTTTAATATAGTCACTTTGGTTTTCCTATAGCTGGGTTAAAACTGGAGGAATTGAGATACTGGGTCACTCCAAGCCTAGCCAGTAGCACAGTAGACAGTGTCACAGCAGTGTCTCAATTTTAGACCCCCAAAGGTAATTCTGATTGGAGATCATGGATCAGGTGTACATCTTGCAGAGAGGCAGTTGTCTTTGAAAATCCTCCATTCACAAGGAATCTCATGGTGGTATATGAATAGCTGGGCCTTCATAAGTCCTGCCTACCCTCAGTGGGCTGTTTCTTAGAAAGAAATACTGACTGAGCTCTCTTCTATAGTTAGAAGGAACTCAGAAAGAAAAAATCTAAGAAGCAAATGCCTGCTCTATGAGTTGGCCTCTCCATAATAACCCAAGACTTCCTCCCTGAGGGTCTATAGTACAAGGACATCCCAGGACAGCAAATGGAAATAAACAAAAATATAGCAGGAAATAGCATCAAGATGAGATTTATGAGTCCTGTCTTCATTGAGTTTTCTAGAGAAAGTGGGGAGAACAGTGGAGGCCTTTTTTTGAGGTTTGGAGTATAGAGTGGGATAGTGAAGTACAGGGTTTCCTATAGTGAAAAAGGCCAGAAATTATCATAGTCAGCAGGGGAGGCTGGCGATCACCCTGGCATTGCATGGAGCTCACAGCTCACATTCTCGGGAGTAAGTCTGACTTTGTGGTACTTGGGAGGGCCATCCTGGATGTCAATTTCCATGTGAAAGGCAAGGTGTTAGGGAAAGCTTGAGTTCTTCTTTCTCACTTCTTATAAGGGCCAAATGCCTGATGATAATCTCTCTAGAATACCAACAGTTACTTCAGTGCTGAAAAGGATTAGGACCCTGTTAGTCAAAGGTAATTCTTTTTCCATCACTATGCAAAATTTTCCAGGGTGAGAGAGTGACCAGGCTTGATGATGGCTTCTACCCGAGTGTTTGTAGAAGTGATTGATGATATTAGTGTTTCTAGGAAAATTGCATGGTTTATTGAAGTGGTTCTCAAACATCGGTGTGCTTAAGCATAACCTGGGTGTGTCTTAAGAATGTAGATTCCTGAATTACAACTACAATGATTCTGATTTGGCCAGTTCAAGGTAGCTCAGCATCTGTATTTTTATTTAAGCTTCTCAGGCAATGCTAATGCAGAAGCATGAATCAGTTTTTGAGAAATATGGGTGTTGTGGGATGAGTCCAAGGAAGGGATTAAAAGAAGAGAATTCTGATCTTAGATCTTCCTGTAAAGTACTGTACAACCTTGTACAAGTCATTTCCCATCTCTGGACCTGTGTCCTCTATAAAATAAGGGTGTTACTCTAGATCAGCAATTCTTAACCCACACTGCAGGGTAGCCAGTTGGAAAACTTTGACAAAATGCTAGTGCCTGAGTCATCTTCCCAGAGCATCCAGAATCCAGGTTAGCATGACATTTCAACACACTGGGGAACAGCTGGGCTGTGTAATCTCTTTCCCAGTGACTCTAATTGCTGTGGGGACTGAGAATTATTATCTAGGTGATGCTCACTGTTCCTTCTATTTTCTGATTCTGAACCTGTGTGACACTATTACCTATACCTCATGTCTTCATTAACGCCTGTCAATGGGAAGCATTTTCTTTTTAAAATTTATTTTATACATTTGACCACTATACATCACTTAGCTTATAAGCTGAATTTACCCAACACGAATGCATTTCACACCAGTCCAGTTGAGGATACAAAACACATTATCGTCAACAGATAATAAACCATTTCTGTGTCCCATAAATGTCTTGCCTCTCTGTTTTCTTCTTTAATTTCTTTCCTTATACTCTCCTCCTTCTCCCACCCTCTTCCCACATTGTCTCCAGTATCTATAACCATTTTCAATGCTTCTATGTCTTCTGTTCTTTCAGTTTCCACCACAGAGTATGGACAGTCAATATAAAAGTGGAGACATACAATGTCTCTCTTCCATAGCCTGGCTTACTTCGCTCAGCAGTAAATCTTCCATATTTGTCCACTTTTTTTTTTTTTGGAGAGAATTTTGCTATAGGGTGCATGCACTCATAGGAGAGACAGAGAGATAGAAAGCGAGAAATCACCCCTAAGGGGAAATGGCCACACTGCAATCCCTTCTCCTCCATTTTCCTCTTGGGATTTTAGTCACATGCACATGTGGCCAGCATGTGTTTTAAGCCACCAGGTCTAGTACTTGAACATGGTCGACTACATGGGAGTCCAGCGATGTGATCATTATGCCATCTGCTGGTACCCCATATTTGTCCACTGTCTATCAAATGCCAGGGTCTTTTTTAAAAATTATTTTTAGAGATTTTTGTTATAGGGTGTGTGTGCTTGCCAGAGAGACAGAGAGAGACAGAGAGACAGAAAGCAAGAAATCACCACCAGGGGATGGCCATGACAAAAATCTCTTTTCCTCCAGTCTCCTCTTGGGATTTCGGGCATACACGCACATGTGCATGGCATGAGTTTTAGGTCTCCAGGTCTGGGACTTGAACTGTGTTCAACTATGTGGGAGTCCAGTGATATAACTATTATGCCATATTGTTTTTATTTTATGGCTGAGGAATATTCCATAGAGTACATGTGCCACACTTTTCCAGTTCATTCTTTTGTTCTTGGGCATTTGGGATGGTTCCATGTCTTAGCAATTGTGAATAATGCTGCAATAAACATGGATGTGCAAGCACTTTTCCAACTGAGCATTCTCTTATCCTTTGGGTAGATATCCAGGAGTGGAACTGCTGAATCATATGGTAGTTCTATTTGTAGGTCTTTGAGGAACCTCCATATTGTTCTCCACAGTGCTAGACCAATTTACATTCCCATCAATAATGTAAGAAAGTTCCCCTTTCACCACATCCCCATCAGCACTTACTATTTTTTGTTCTTTTAATCTTCGTCATTCTGACTGGGGTTAGGTGATATCTCATGTGGTTTTGATCTGCATCTCCCTTATGATGAGGGATATTGAGTGGTTTTTTTTTATATGCTTTTTGGCTGTTCGTATGTCTTCCTTAGAGAGTTGTTTATTCAGTGCATTTTCCCATCTTTTAATTGGGTTAATCATTTTTTTTCCCCAGATAATCTGCTTGAGTTCTCTGTGTATTCTGGTTATCAGTCCCTTATCTGGAGTATAGTTTACAAAAATATTCCCAAAAATAGACAAGTAGGATTACCTCAGATTAAGAAATTTCTGCAAAAGACACAGTAACTAGTGTGAATTGACAATGCTCGGAATGGGAGATTATTTCTGGAAGCATTTTATACATCATACAATTTTCCAAACAAAGAGTCATCCATTAAGCATCAACCTTTAGAAAGTTTTGGCCTACTTTGATTTCTCTTGTTAAAAAAAAAATAAAAATCTTTTGATGATTTAAAGTTACCATTATCATCATTCATTGTGCATTAGTTCCAAGATATACATATGGAATCTACTGTGTGTTAGGTGCTCACAAAATAAAATTATAGTGCAATTTAAAGATTTGTGGACTATGGATTAGTAATAATAATAATGATGATGATAAGTACATTTAAACTTTCATCATGCACATGCTACATGATAGACATGTTGGTTTTATAATCTCATTTAATCCTCACAACAATCTTCTTAGGCAGGTATGATTATATTCCCGTTTTATAGATGGAGAAACCAAGGCTCAGAGAGGCTCTAAACTTTCTCAAGCTCGCACAGCTGGTTGGGAAGAGCTGGGATTCAAATCACGCCTCTCTATGTGATCTGGGACAGGGTTGTTTCATCCCAGTGCCTCAGTTTCCTTTTGTGTTGAGTAAATTCTGAGGCCATTTTGAGTTTTCACACATCAAAGGTCCTTATTCACCCTTTAGGTCCCTCAGGAGGTCCCTGTCTTGTATCAAGGAGAGCCTGCGAATCTTCATTGACCTGGGGGAGAGAGACAAGGCAGCTGAGGCCTGGCTGGGGGCTGGGCGACTCCACTACCTCCTGCAAGAAGATGAGCTGGTGGAGTTGTACCTGCAGGTAAGCCTCAGGGATCAGCTGATTTGGGCCATTGAGGGGACACCAATACCCTCCAAATCTACCAGTTGAGACCATAAATGGAAGATGTCCGCACTAAGCCATTAGAGAGAGGGTCAGTACTGGGCTGCTCCTTGGAAACATTATGGAAACTAAGACAGTCCACAAGCTGACTACAGGCAGCAAATGGCCAGTCCCTGAGTCCCATGTGTTTGAGCCCTTAGGAGGTGCAAAGGCAGATTTCCTTAAGGGTCATGTTAGTATTCCTACCATTTCAAAGCTCAACACACACTTTAGATTTTGCTGCAATTTGAGACTAAGTTGGTGTGTGGGGGATATTAACCTTATTGTTCTCTTATGGTTTTGTTCATTTGTTTGTTTGGATGCTCCCCCACCCCCCCCCAGGATTTTGCTATAGGGCATGTGCACTTACTTGCCATATAAAGACAGAGATAGAGAAGAGAAAAAGGGAAAGTGGGAAATCATCCCTCACCCAAGGGGGACGCCTACACATCAATTGGTTCTCTTCCATTCTTCTCTCTGGATTTTGGGCAAACATGCACACATGCCTGGTATGTATGATTTTCTTTTCTTTCTTTCTTTCTTTCTTTCTTTCTTTCTTTCTTTCTTTCTTTCTTTCTTTCTTTCTTTTTAAGAGGTTTTTGCTATAGGGCATGTGCGCTTGCCAGCCAGCCAGAGAGAGAGAAAGCGAGAAATCACCCCCCAGGGGGGATGGCCACGCTGCAATACCCTCTCCTCCATTCTCCTCTCGGGCTCTTGAGCATGCACGCACACGCACCTGGTGTGAGTTTTAAGCCACCAGGTCCGGGACGCGAACCACGGTCAACTACATGGGAGTCCAGCGACATAGCCATTACACTAACTGCTGGTCCCACCTGGTGTGATTTTTGATCTCTATAGGAGCTCTCTGGGACTCAATTTCTTATGGGTAAACCCTATTTCTTGGTGTAAGGATTAGGAAGGATATATATATATATATATCTGGCATAGTAGTCAGTATTTACTAAGTGCTCAAGACTTAATAAATCCTTAATAAATTATATTATTATTATTATGTAAGTTTTATGCCATCAAAAATATACCCATTATCTTTTCTTCCTTTCCATTCTCTATTTTCTCCTTTATTATCCCCCTTTATGCTATTACACAACTTGTTCAAACCCACTTCCACTGAGACTTAATGACTGTAGAACATTGATTGCATGCTTCCTACAGACAGAAGACTGCTGAATACTTCACCTGCATGATGTAGCTTAATCTTCTTTACTAATGCAGTAGAAGTTTCTATTGCAATTTTCATTTTACATGTACAACTGAAAGAGGCTAAATAATTTGCCCAAGGTAAAATAGTTGGTAAATGGTGGGGCTGAGACTTGCGTAGTGTCAATCTGACTTAGAGGTGTCACTCTCAGCCTCTATACCATTCTGCCTTTGGATTTTATAGCTGGAAGGGTTTTGGAGAGAGCAGATAATTTGATCTGTTCCTTTGATGCTCCAGGGGAAATGCTTGAGTAGTACATTGGTGGCAAAGCCTTCTGACTCTAGGCTTCCCTATCACTGCCTCTCTATCACTGATAGAGCTGCAATATTTCTCCCAGTTATTAGATATTCAGTGGTGACCACTGGTGCCAGATCCAACCCACCTCCAGGCTGCTACCTAACCCAATGTTCTGCAGAGTCATTCCCCTGGAAGTGAATCACTCTCTACCTAAGGATATTTGAGTTTCTGTAACTCTGCTGCAGATGCGCAGTGTATTCTTCACCCTTCAATTTCCTCATCACATTTGGCTTAAATGCAATATGAAATTGCTTGTAAGAGATAAAGAGTTTGTGGGTGCTAGAAGAAGAGTACTGGTCTGGAAGATACCTTTGTTTGCTATTCATTACTGGTGTGAACTTGGAGAGTTCCCACTTTCTTTCTGAACCTCACTGTCTCCATCTGGGAAGTGAAGATGTTGGATTAGATCACTGTTTTCCAATTTCAGTCATCACACATTAAGTTCATGGTTTTGATATATCCTTGTATCTTCCATATTATTATTATTTTCTTTTGATTCAACTTCAAATCAACTTAGCTTCTTATACTTAACTTATCCTAAATAATGTGGTATGAAATCACAGGTTTGAGGCATTATTGATCTTTTATTCCTAAAATATTTAAAAATAAATACTCAACCATTAAAACATAAACCATTTGTTTGTATATTGCTGACAATATTATAAGAGAGAATGCCAGACTAGAGAATCTCTGAGTCTTCTTACCAGTCCTGTAAGTACTCAGATAATTCAGGATTTGGGAGACTTCAGCAAAGGATTGGACTAGGTGATTCAGATCCTACTTCTGCCAGTCATCTGAAGGGTATAGAATCCCATCCCTCTGCCTTTGACTGCTGTCTCTGTCCAATGCAGGCAGCCATCCAGACAGCCCTGAAGTCAGAGGAGCCCTCCTTAGCTCTCAAGCTTTATGAAGAAGCAGGTGATGTGTTCTTCCATGGGACCCGCCATAGGCATCGTGCAGTGGAGTATTACCGGGTAAGTTGTGGGCTCTGCAGCATGCTAAGCAAGGCTCTAGCACCAGTGTGGGCAGGTTTACACCAGATTTTGTCCTGAGGTCCCTCTTCCTTCCTCTTGCTGTGTTTTTTTCCTATTTTCTTTGAGCAATGCCCACATACTCACCCTCTCTTCAATCAAGCAGGCACTCAGGGAAAGATGTGATAAACTCCATCATTCTCAGGCTCAATATTTTATCTTCATGGGATAAGATACCTTAATAATTAAATCTCTTGGGCACATGGTACTTTACAGTTCGTAGGATACTTCCATGTTTTCCACTATTTACCAAGTACCATTGGCAGCATGGTGGGAGATGACTTAGAAGGGTACATGGAGGCCACTGTGGTACAGTGGTAATGTGCTGTTCAGGAGAGGCTGATTCCCACATAATGATTGTGTAACTAGCCAAACTAAGTCTGGCTGCTGCTTCTTCTCATGGTCAATAAAATGAGAGGCAGAAGCTGGACAAGAAGAGAGTTTATTCTGTAACCAGTTATAGGGAGATAGTTAGTAAATACCATCAAACTGTCTCCAAAAATTCAACATGCTCTTGGTATTTATAGGTGCAAGATATAAGCACATGTAAATCATTCCTCACTACAATCAGTACGTCAGTTTTTGTCCTTGCATAACTACTTGATTCCTTCAAATACCCATTCTTGGTTTCTCATTTGACCATTCCTCAAATATTATCCTTGTAACTCACATTTGGTCAGATTGTTCTCATTAGAGGCCTTTCTTAATTTCAAAATGGCTGTAGTCCTGCTTATCCTTAAACTGGCCTGCTACAACTGTAGTTTGGATCCTGACCCAGTCTACCTGAAATATGCCTGGCATGTGCAAGACTTCCCAGGATCCCACAGGCTGGAGGACTGGAAGAGGGGGATCACTGTGAACAGACCTTGTACAGGGTGCTCATCTTTCTCTCTCAACTCAGAAAGATGAAGTAATATGCTTAAAATTCTACCAAAAAAAGACTAGTTATTGATCACTTTTGGACACTATCATAGATTAGTGCTGTGGATGTTAAGGGAACAGTTTCTCCAATTTTATGAGACCTGATGACCTCTGGTTCTTCTATCTCTAAGATCTGGGCAAAACACCAAGAGCAAGGACCAGGAGAATGAGCTGAGAAAAGCCATGCATGGAAATACAGCTGGCCCCCTTCAGTTTAGTCTACTGCCACCCCCTATCCCCCAGGCCCTTCCAGGAGAATGTAAGCCTCCCAGAGTATGGTATTGCCAACTTAAAAACAAAGTCGAGGCGAAGTTAAAGTGAAAGGTTTTAATTGGGCCAGGGTTAGGATGATGGACTGGTGATTTGAGAAGTCCTTCCCTCCTCTAAAGGTTGGTCGAACAATGTGGGAAGTCAGAAAAAGACATACGGTACTGATGTCATGTTGTTTATTGCTGAGTTCAAGGTGAGCTCGCAAAGTTCCCACTAGGCTTGCAAAGCCCATAGGAGTACTTGCAAGCTCTTCCTCCCTCTTGGAGCTTGTGTCATATGTGGGGAACACTCACAGAGTGCATCCTCCTTTTTGGAGTTCGCAGTGCAAAGTTGAACTGAGCCAAGCCAGAGCAAGGCCAGGAGGGCTCACCAGCCTGAACCAAGACCCACCTGAGCAGGGCTAGCTAGCAGGGCAGAGCTAGATGACCAGGTACTCTTTTCTCTTAAAGCAGCTGCAGACAATAGTGGCTCATTTCTAAAACCAGATTGTCACACATGCACATGCATTTTATATTCAATGGCATAAAACAGTAAAGTCATAATTACATAACAAATGCACAAGTACAATATAACTAATAATGTTAGTTATTTATCCTGTGGCCTTCAAACATGGTAAGATAGAAAGTGAAGGAGCCGGACTAAACCATGCTGACTCTATTTGCAATATACCTGGGCACCACAAAATCCAAGTTGCCCCGAATAATGTGTGCCACAGTCTTACAGATTTAAGGATGATTTTTGAAGGTGAAAGTCACAAAGAGTTACTTGGGAAGGGAAAGTAGCAAAGAGTCTTTACAGCAGTAATGGCTAAATTCTATGATAAGGGGAGTGGGATGACCTCATGGTGGAGACAGTGAGTCTAGCACTTTGTTATAAATGTAATAAGGATGTTCATAAGGCAAAAAAAAAAAAAAAAAGCCACTGAGTCTAGGTAATATCATAGGCTATTTCAGGTATATGTTCCTAAGAAGGTCTAAAGATGTACATATTTTATTTCCTTATAGCACTGACTCAGGTAAACTGTGGTCTCCCCATTTCAGGAAAAACTGGTCTATTTCAAAATCTATTAGCTTCATTAAAGGTTCAGTTTGATAATGTGGCATTTTGGCATGAGTGACTCCATTTCAATCTAGCCTGTGGTGCTTAGAACAGGAGGTTAGTCCAAAACAGTGGACTCCTTTAATTTTTATTTAACACTATGTCCCACAGACTAAGGTTCCTTGTGACTCTGTTCTCAGGCTGGGGCTGTTCCTTTAGCAAGGAGGATGAAAGCACTGAGAACCGAGCTCCGGGTCTTCAATAAACTGACAGAGTTGCAGATCAGTCTGGAAGGCTATGAGAAGGCTTTGGAATTTGCCACTCTGGCTGCCAGACTCAGCACAGTCATAGGTAGGTGGTCCTAATTGTTGGACATACTGAATGGGAGGGGGGAGCACTACTCAAAGATAGACAATGAAGCAATAATGGCATAAACTCTGGAGTCATCTTGTGTGGGTTCAAATCCCATATCCAACTGTCACAAAGACTTTAATTAAGAAAGTTACTTAACTTCTATAAGCCTCAAGTTTGTCATTACCAAATCAGGATTAAAAATAGCACTTATGTTATGCAGTGGTAGACCAGTGATTGTACATGTGAAGACTACAGCACAGCCCTAGGTAAGTAATAAGACCTGGGTAAATGTGACTGTGGCATACTAGTTGGTGGCATACTAGTTATTTTATTATAGTTGGTATGATTCCCTGACTATAAGGTAAATCATATTTTATACTATGCATGAGCAATGTTCCATTACAAAAAGACTGTACCTAAATTTTTAATTGGTTGATTGCTAGTCAAAAGCACATTTTCCCATGAAATGGAATATAAATGAAGGTCAAGTTCCTATTAACCCAATTTCCAACATAGTTGAAATTTCTTGCATTTACAGCATAAACTTGTAGAGAACAATGCATCATTAAAACAAAGTGAAAAAAAAAAAAGGCAGAATAAAAAAGATCAAGCAGGGACCAGCAGTTAGCATAATGGCTATGTCAATGGACTCCCATGTAGTTGACTATGATTCGAGTCCTGGACCCAGTGGCTTAAACTCATGCCGGGTGTGTGTGCGTGAGTGCCCAAGATCCTGAGAGGAGAAAGGAGGAGAAGGGGTTGCAGCGTGGCCATCCCCCTTGGAGGGTGATTTCTTGCTTTTTGTCTCTCTTTCTCTCTCTTTCTGGCAAGCACATGCACCCTATAGTGAAAACCTCTCAAAAAAAAAAAAAAAGATAAAGCAAAACTCATCTTGAACATTGGGCTTAAGGAAGAGCAGGCTTGTTTAGAGTTGCCTAGATTAGATATAGGGGTAAACGAAACCTTTTGTGATGATTCTAGAAGGAACTTCTGGGCATTTTCAAGGGCATCCAGTGTAAATAACACTGTACTTCATTGTGTCTAATTGCATTTGAGAGTTCTCTCTCT